TGACCTGAATAATTGTTTCATGAGTATTCACTATATATTATAGTTAAACTGTACATTTATATTTTATGATATTTTCTGTTCATATATTCCATAATGAACGATGTTAATGTTTAATAGCATTATTTTGTGAAAAGATCCATAAATTAAAGGATTTCCCATTTAGAAGATAGGACTAAGGTAGACAGATTAGGTTAGATGTATTATATATCAGATATACAATTGACCCTTGAACAACACAGGTTTGAATTACACAGGTCCACTGATCCACAGGTTGAAGGATATTTTTCAATAAATATATTCACAATTTTTTTGGAGATTTGCAACAATTTTTTTGAATTAAGGTATCATTGATATACAATCTTACGAAGGTTTCACATGAGCAACATTGTGGTTATTACATTCACCCATATTATCAAGTCCCCCAAACACACCCCATTGCAGTCACTGTCCATCAGCGTAGTAAGATGCTATAGAGTCGTTCCTTGTCTTCTCCGCGTTGTACTGCCTTCCCCATGACCTACCTCTATTGTGACTGCTAATTATAGTGACTGTTAATCCCCTGCTCCCTCCCTCCCCAAACACCCAATCCAATCCCTTCCCTTTGGTAACCGCCAGTCCCTTCTTGGAGTCTGTCAGTCCCCTGCTGTTTTGTTCCTTCAGTTTTGCTTTGTTGTTATACTCCACAAAAAAGTGAGAGATTTGCAACAACTTGAAAAAACATTTTCTTTTCTCTAGTTTTCTTTATTATAATATAGTATATAATACATGTAACATACAAAATACGTGTTCATTGACCGTTTTTGTTATCTGTAAGGCTTCCTATCAGCAGCAGGCTATTAGTAGTTAAGTTCTGGGGGAGTCAAAAGTTATATGCAGATGTTTGACTGCACAGAGTTGGTGCTCCTCCCCCTGACACTGTTCAAGGACCAGCTGTATTTGATAGGGCTAAGGTAAGTAAGTACATTTTACTCTACCAGTGTAGCATTAAAATATTGATATTATAAGTGAAGACAAGATATTAATTTTGTTATAGCCAGTCTCCAGAATGTCCCAGTGATCACTACCACCTGGTGTTTATGCCTTGCATAGTTCCCCTTCTACACTGAATGGGATTCACTGTGTAGTGACTTATATGGAAAATGTCATAAAGGACATTACGTCTTTCTCTTTGCTATCTTTTGTTTGACCCACTTTGGGGGAAAACAAGCTGCATGACACAAGAGAACACTTAAGTCCTAAGTGAGGCCTCCAGCAAGCAGCTGTCAAGAAATAAAGCCTCCTGCAAATGACCTGGGATGTGGACCCTCCCAATTCCACCCTACAATCCACAGATCAAGTTTTAGGATGACTGGAAGCTCACGAGGAGACCCTTTTCTAGAATTGCCCCGATAACCTACTTCAGATTCCTGACCCACAAAACCTCATTGAGATGTTTGTTGTTCCAAGTTAATAAACTTGAGAATAACTGTTAGGCAGCAATAGATAATAATGAAGATTTTATCAACTAATTCCTTAGAATGCTCTTTATAAAACATAAACCAGATAGATATACATCCCTAATTAAAATATTTCAAACGTTTCATGTTGTTCATGGACTAAAACCTAAATTCCTCACTATGACCTACAAAACCATTTATGCTTGGGGCTCTGCCTACCCTTTCACCCTCACCTGGTTCCATTCTCTACCTCCTCAGCTCCACTAGGCTCAGATTATGAAAGAAGGTGCTCTCCTCCTTGACCTTTTTATCTGCTGTTTTTTCTGCATAGGAATACTCTTCCCTGCATTCTGGCAGGTATTCTTTGAATACTCATATGAGAAAACTCTGGGATTTACCCACAAAAGAGAGAAAAGTTTATATTGCTTAAAGCAATACAAAATGGGAGTTAGTCTGTTAGATTAACTGTATTAAATGAAATAAATTAATTTATTGCTATACCTTACATGATGTACATCTGAGCTACACAAGAAAAACACATTAAAGAACAAAGAACATGTAAATTCTATGGGAACAAAACTTTAAAACAGCCCTGAAGGACAAAAGAGGACATTACCAAAAGGAGTGACATAGCATGTAAGACAGGAAGACTGAATATCAAAAAGGTGTACATACTCCAAATTCTTTGTGTAATATGATACAATAAAAATACCAAAGAACTTTTGCAATATGATAAAGTGATTATGAACTCATGAAAAAATAAGGCAAGAACACTCGGGAAATTTCTGAAAAATTAAAAGGAAGAGGAATTAGTTGTCAGATATGAAAACATTATAAAAACTAAATAATCAGAGTAATTTGGTCCTCATACAGAAGAGATGTAACACTGATGGAACAGAATAGAAAAATCTACTAATGTAAAGAAATACCAATTCATAAGGAAAAGACCAACAAGTAAAGTAAGTAAGTGGTTGGATAAGTAGGTAGTCATCTGGAAAAACAGAAGTTGTTACTAACATTCTACACTCAAAATGGATAAAATAGTTAAAATGTAGAAAAAGTGAAGTCATTAAACACTACCAAAAAGTGAGTTATTTATAATCTAGAAGTGGTAAATATTTTTCTGGCTAAGACACAACACTAATTTTTCTTATGAAGACATAATTCACAAAAGAGAAGATGAAAAAAGCTTTTCATCTTTTAAATAAACAATAACAAACTGAGGAAATATTTTTACAACTTTTATCACAAACAGTTTTCTAAAGGGGCTCCCACAAAATCAATAGAAGACAATAGTCCAATGGAAAAATGGGCAGTCTGTATATTATTTTCTACTCGGAATATTTTTAATCAACTGTATTGTTTTTAAATATAAACAGAGAGAATAAAATATAAAAATAAAAATAATTGTCACTCTAGCTACAGTTTAGGTTTATCTTTACCCAAACTCTTATACATGGAGACCGACTTACATGAGTGAGTGTTTTGTGGAAGCTGAGAACAGTCTGTAACCTTCATAGCTGAGTTTATGCGGTGTGAAAACTAGTGTCCAGCAAGACAAGAACCTGATCCTTGAAATGAGGAAACAATTGTTCACAAGTACTAACCCCTAGCTCCACCCCAACTATTCTCATGATAGAAAGTTTTAGACTTCTAGGGAAGCATTTTAGAAACTTCAGTTCGTAAGAGGCAAAATGACCTCAGCAAACATTCATGTTCCTGGAGGACAGAGTGAACTTCCGTCCCCAAACAAACCTAGTCTTAAAATGTGTTTGTGATGGCTGATGTGACTTGGGGCCAGGTTCTTCCCAACCAAAATAATAAAATGACTAGTAGGTCTTAGTTCTTATTTGTATCCTCTCCTCAGTGTCTAGCCCAGGGTCTGGCAATAGAAAGTACTCAGTAAGTACAAGTTCCGTCACTCATCTTTCTCATTTCTAAAGTTTTTTTGTTTTTTTGTTTCCAAAAATTCACCCACATTGTTACAAATTGAAGACAGGTGTCTTAGTTGGGAGTTGATTCTATTGCATATAACAGAAAACCACAACATAACAGGTTTTAAACAAGTCTCCGTCATGTTAAAGAAATGCAGATTTAAGAAGGCCTGGGGTTGGTGTGGCAGCTCCACTGGTGCCCCAGGGACTCAGCTTCCTCTCTTCCTACCACCATCCTGGTGCATCTCATCCACTACCAAGTCATTCTGTGGCTCCAGATGGCTGTGCTGTAGCTCTAGCCACTAAGCCCAGCTTCCATAAATGTGGAGTGAAAGGAGACAGACACAAGAGTACATACCTTACGATTCTAGTTACGTGAAGTTCAACAGGCCTTTTTAGTGGTAAAGGTCAAAATGATGGTTATATTTACATGGAGTTATTGACTGGGGGGAGGGGCACGAGAGAGCCTTCTAGAGTGCTAAAATGATTTACATCATTGTCTAGGTAGTGTCATACATATGAAGAATTCCTTGATATGTATACTTAAGATCTGTGTACTTTACTAAATGGAAGATAGCTAACTACACAAGGTATATCCCAGATCTCCGAGCTTTTCTGTATTTTGACTAGACTACGCACTCCAAATAGACTGAAGAAACTGAAAATATTCTAAAGCATTTAGTGTTCAGTGTCCAGCTCCTGTGCTGTCACCTTTCAAAGGCTGAAAAGTAACCAAGACATTCAGTCAGCTTGAAGAGCTAAGGGTGTAGCAACTGTCTTGCTTTAGGAATACTCAAGCCCTATAGGTTCAAATCCTATCTCTATTTGTAATGTTTTAATTTCACTGAAAAGGGTATAAAAAAATGACTTTCCTTTTCCAAAATCTGGAGCACCTTCATGAGGATTTATGAGGCAATATATATCAAGTTCTTAACATAATGCCTGATAATGTAATAAAAAGTAGTTATTGTTATTATTTTATCATTATAATCATCATCATTATTAACAAATGATAGTACATGGATCTCAAATGATTCTACAGTCAAGAATCCCAAGTAAACAGGTTAATATCCCTATGGATGTGAATATCCTACTGAACATGTATGTCTGTCTATGAACCTACTTTACAGTTGAGAATTTCCTAAAGAAGATAAATCCAGTTCTTCTCATAGCTCTGTATTTTTAGAAAACTCAAAGCATCATAGGAACACTTTTGGAAATACGTTGTAAAAAACTTGGTTTTGCTGTCATTATATGATCTTCCTTAAGGTGGTTCAATGGATACTGAATGGGAAAGAATTTTGAAGTAGAGTAACTGATAAAAATAAGATATAAAGCAGTATGTGTAATTTAGTACCATTTACTGACTCAGTACAAATTCACTAATTATAAATACACTGAATGATCTCTAAAAGTACACAAGAAACTGGTAAAAGTGGTGATGTGGAGAGATGAAGATCACTGGGTAACAACTAAGAAGGCTATATGTATCCTTTTGTTCATTTAACATAAAAAGCCCAGGGAACAGTGGGAGTGGGTATTTTTCCAGTATACACTTTCATGGAAAAAGTAATGATTTTATATGTGGAATAAATCCATTTTGAAAAATGTATAAATACAAAGTACTTACCCATTTAGCAATTGGACACCCATGAGAGCTTTTTCCTTCTTTTCCCGTATACACTACTATTTCTATCCTTATTGCATTTCCTTTTTGACCATACCTGAGTACAAAACACAATAAATGGAAAATAGTTGCAATTAACTGCAATATACACTTTTAGCACCTTAATGTGCATAAGATACAGATGTACAGAACTACAAAAATCAAACACTCCTCATAATTGACTTTTGTTAAAAATTTACTTTTGTGTGGCTGATATTTTTGTTACCCAGCTCTGTTTACTTATCCTTTAATATCACCCTTTTGAAAAATAGCCTGGCTCCAAGATGAGCAGAAGGAATGAATGTGAATGCAGTGCTGACAGAGGTAATTTGAATTATTTCTACCATTATACAATAATATAAAAATAAGTATTTGCAAATTTAACAAAGATAACCTTGCTTTGTGTCTTGAGTGTCCAATGCCTCGTGATGAGTGACTCAGCAGGGATACCAGGACACTGTTCCCTCCCAGGGCCCTAAGACACATCCACCTCATACTCCTGAAGCTTTTCCATTCACCTCATATTTGTTCCCAGAGATCATTTCTCTGCATTGAGTCAGGTCCACAATAATGACTTCAACAGGGAAGCATATTTCCTCACCTATTCTCCATGATTTCCCTGACAGCAGCAACACTTGGTCCTGCCCCAAGGTGTGTATAATATGGGCCTTTGTCTTTTTGTATAACTCGATCTGTGGAAGGAATAAGATTATTAGACCCAAAGCTTTACAGAATTGCATAGGGGCAAGGAAGTGCCATTTTTACTAAGTTTTTTTCACTTCATAACAACAAATCTTGACAAAATTTTGGTAAGCCTTAATAATTAAAGTCCAGGAAAACAGGTCCTGGAGTTTAACTGTTCTTTCCTTTCTGCTTCTAATTCAGCTTCCTCTAAGAATAAGAGGAGGAAAAAATAGGTTAAGATGTGGGTCATATTTATTCTCCTATCTCCTGCTTAAAAAAAAAAAACCTGTAATAATTGGGTGCAAAACTAACTTATCTAAGAGTATTACTCTTAAGATATTGGTCTCAGAATCATATTTAAATTGAGCCCAGCAATTAATTGTACTGCTAAGAATTTATTCTACTATACACTCTCACAATTCTGTATTTAAAATGTAAATGTACATAAGAATGTTCCTTGTTACAATTATTTTTAATATTAAAAAGAGAAAAGAGACATTTTTATTAACACCTGTCAATAAATGGTAGGCTAAATAAATTAGGGGATGTTTATATAGGAGAACTGAATAAAGCTATTAAATCAACAATATTTATAAACACTGAAAAAAAATCTAAAATTTTATTGTTAAAAAAGCAAGTTGCTGCTGCACTGATGGACTGACTGCACTGAGGTATGGGTGGGGACTTGATAATATGGGTAAATGTAGTAACCACATTGTTTTTTTCATGTGAAACCTTCATAAGAGTATATATCAATCATACCTTAATAAAAATTTAAAAAAAAAGCAAGCTGCAAAAATAGTATGTTTTAAAAGACCTAAGTATTGTAGATTTGGAAACAAAATTAAAATCAATAACAATGTAAATTTGTATAGAAAAACTACAAAAGAGGTTTATCTTCAGAGAATGGGGCTATAAGAAGACATCTGCATCATATTTCTGTATCATTTTAATTTTTCTGTGCGAATTACATATTTCTTACACAACAGTTTTTTAACATAGAATCATGTCTAACTATTATCACTGGGGAATGCATTTCTCCCCATGGTGCACCTATATCAAAAAAGGTCATTATTTAACCATTTTGACTAGACATCGAATACTACCTAGGATTACACTTCTGTGGCTTCTGAAGCAAGATATATTGAATAGATTTAACCTACTGGTGACCTAGAACAATAGTTCTTAACCAGGGGCAATTTTTCCTGACAGGACATTTGGCAGTATTTTGGGCTGTGACAATTGCTGGGGGAGGTCGGGGAGAGAGAGTGTGTGTATGCGTTACCGCCATCTATAGGCCAGGGCTGCCACTACACAGCGTACAGTGCCTAAGACGGTCCCCGCCAACGAAGATATCTCATCTAAAAATCTAAATCTAAAAATTTAAGGAATCCTGATTTAGAAGTTAATTACCCTTATTTTGTAGAACATAATACCTCCCTGGTAATCTTTCAACCTTAGATTTGGGATGATTTCTGAGTGAGTCTGCTTTTTTGTTTCTCTCTTGTTTAAGTTTCCATTTCTACACAACAAGCACAATAACCTCATGCGTGATGATTACGAGAAAACATGTAAGTGGCCATCTATCGAACAGTTCCAGGTCCACTGCAGATGCTCAATAAACTTTGAATAATTGGCTGTCTCAGCTCCTACACTGTGACTTACTGTGTATAAGGAAAGAGTCTTGATATTAGGCAATTATCCTATTGAAACTATGCACACTGTAGAATTAAGACTAGCTCAGACATATAAATAATGGTATTTTTAGAGATCTTTTCTCCATTTGGTATTCAGAAAAATAATGTCTCTTATTTTTACTTCAGATTTTTGAAGCAACAGATAATGGAGGTTACACATACAGGCTAGGCAGCTGGAACTGCCTGTCTTTGAAATCCAGGGATGTCATTTACTATCTGTGAACCCCTCTGTGACTCAGTTTCCTCATTTGTAAACTGGGGATAATAAGTCTCCTTTGTGGGTTGTTGTGACTATAACAAGTCAAGAGCACAGCACAGTATCTTGCGGTGAAAGACCTAGAATAGGAGACATTATTATTACATTCTTCTGCCCTTGGTCCAAGAACCTCTCATTCTCCCAATTCAACTCCAGTCAGACAGCATTGCCACTTTTTCCAGAATGTGAGATCCTTGTCAGAGGAGCCTACCCTTGGTGTCTGGCACGTGGTAGGCACAACTGTGTGCTGAATGATGAGAGAAGAAATGGAAGGAATAATATCAAATGTACTTTAGGTAATCAAGAACTGGAAGTCATTGCTACACTTCACTATTTTTTTCTGTTGGGTTAAAAAAAATCAGAATGATATACTTTATCCTTCCAGACAATCCTTTAACTACCTATTCTGGAATGTACTAACGAATCCCCTGCCTGCAGTACGAAGACTGCCTTTGATAAAGGCAAATATTGAATCTTTGTTATTTGGGGCCATATTTTAAGACTGTTTTAATAATTAAACCTATTTGGGTTCAAAATACTTATTTCACAAATTCTGTGCTATTGTAACTTGGATAAAAGCTTCAATTAGTCTAACAATATTTAACGACACAATTTAATCTTCCTATTTTTTTACAGCTGTATTAAATAAACTTCTTATATTTGAGCACTTACATGAATCTGGTCTTAGACAGTGACTAGTGAGTACAGGATTCAAATTAAACTTTCATAAGTTTCATGTTGAATAAGTTTCTCATAAGGCCTGCCTGGGGATCTCTTTACTGCAGCAAGATCTTAGGGCTTTTAACACACTGATAGAACTTCTAATTATTAGTTCCTGAATGTTCTTCCAATAACTCCTAAGGCTACACACACACACACACACACACACATATTAGACACTGGTCCACGACTCAGCTATTTGCACAAGCCCATTTGGTTTTTCTTTTACAAATAGGAAATCATTATTTATTCAATAATTTAATACTTTAAAATTGCAAAAGGTTTGCTAATTCTTCAACTGACCAAGATTACTCAATTTTTACATACAAGATACATCACTTATATCACAGAGCACAAAGGCAATAGGCACTGAAAATTAAACCAGTTCTAGTTCTTGACTGAGATTGTAATGACACTGACACTTTTTACAGTTTTTTACTAAGTTGTATGTATAATTTATGTTCTCTTTATGCATACTGTATCTCACAATAAGATATTTTCTTCAAAGGCTTACAGTTTTAAGTTCTTTTGAATAAAAGAATAAACTCTAATAAACTATTAAGGGAATTCATTCTTACATATACAATAAACAACTTGAGAGACATTTAGCTTTGAGAGAAATCAGCAAATTTTCCAGTCACCTTGGTTAGAATATAAAGAGGTGAAAATGCTGTATGTAAAAGATAAACCAAAGCATGATTTGGTCATGACTTGAGGCAATTAATGCAGGTAAATAAAGAAACACACGCACACAGGTGTGCACGCACGCCCATACATGCACTTACCAAGACAGTTGCAGGTCGGTAGTTCAGAATCTTTTGTTGTAGACACCAGGTTTTTGGTAGGATTAGTAAAGAAGTGCATGGCATAATCATTAAAATTTTTCTGTGCACTGTCTACTGGTGAAAATTCTGATGCTCCAACATTTGATGAACAGACATCCTCTTCACTTTTGGTAGAAACCACTGTAATTCCACCTGAACACACTACATTTACATTCCTGAGGATTGGTCCTGGGTCTGGTAAAGGGGTCTCTTGAGAGATACCAGGCAATGTGGGCAGGCTCTGATGCAGGAGATGGTCTTTAACATCCTGCTGGAATTGTGTTTGATCATTGCCAGACATTGTATTAGCACACTGGTTAGTTGGAGAGGAAGGCTGGAGTAAAGGATTAGCTTTCTGATTGACATTCACTGTTGACTGTACCTGAGAATTATAAACTTTTCCTGTAAATGCCTGCCCATTGGATTCTGTTTTGAACTGGGATATGGGGAGAGAATCCAATGGTTCAACCTTCATCATTTTTTCCCGTGCTAATTCAGGATAATATCGCTCAAATTTTATCTGAGTGAGTGGAGGAAAAAATTTTTTGTGTTCTAATGCTGAACTCCTTTGAGTCAGTGGTTTCCATACTTTGGTAAGGGGAGGAATTTTTCCCAACAGAATGGGAAACTCATGTGGACCAAATTGACCAAATCGTTGAAATTTAGATGCTATCCAAATGTCATGTAACTTACTATACTCATATGACAACTGTTCCTGCTTTTTCTGGTCATTTTCTCGACAATTTATTACTGCAGGCTTCTTTTTTCGCCGATCTCTTGATGGAGTAGGTTTTGTCTTTTTCTGGATTGTGTTCTTTTGCTTTGTTAATGATGAGCCGTGGTTATTTTGCACACTGGAAGGTGGTTTCTGTTGTAATGAGCCCTTCTCCTGACTACTTTTTTGCTGTACATTATATGCAACAAGGCTTGTTGGTGTACTTTCAGCTTTTTTGTCCTCTTGTTTTATATAATTGAATTTAATTATTGATGCAAGTTGTGTTAACTGTGTTGCAACATCCTCTTCTATTTTACTATGAACTGTATCTTGACATGATGGATCATTCTTTGAGCCCAACTTTTCACTGCTGTCCAGTGACTGGTTACAATGCCCTACTTTTTTACTTGGTGGCAAATGTTGCAAATTCTTGGAACAACTGTCAAGAGTAATTCCACCTTGGGAAATGGTGTCGATTTTAGATGAATTTGAATTTGGCATAAAAAGAGATACTGAATTTGTGACTTTTGAACATTCCTGGGTCTTTGTGGATGCTTGGTTAATGACGGGGCTATTGTGTGACTTGGAAATTATATTTTGGCCGTTGAACACCACTGTGTTGCATGAACTTTGCTTTTCCAAAGATGGGCAATGATGATGGCTTTGTGGCTCTCCTTGTAAGTTTGGGTCTTGGAGGTCTTTTCTTACAGAATAGAGGAGAGCTTTACAGCTATTTAGCAAACTGGCTGTTCTCTGTTCTGTTTCTTCATCCTTCTCTGACTTTGACGGTGAGGAATTTTCCGATGGGGCTTCTGACAGCTGAGTCAGAGCTTCTATGGCCACCACCTGCTCCAGTGTTAATCTTCTATCCTTCATTAGGGATAGAAGACTTGTTTGAACTGGAGATCCATCTTTTGGTTCTTTACTTGGTCTATTTTCTAGAGATTTTGGTTGACCACTTTCATTGTGTGTACTAGTGTGATTATTTAAGTTGAAGTTTGCAGGATCTGGAAAAGACTTGCAGTTAAAGCCAGGCTTCTGGAAGACTAAAACATTTCTTCCCTTGAGATGATCACAGCTTGTACTCGTTGCAATGGAGCTCATGTCATTGTCATGGTTTGCAGTGTCTTTCAGAAATTTATAGGAATTGTTTTCAAGTGTTTTGCCAAATTCTTCAATACTGAATTTTTTAAAAGACATATTTGTTTCAGTTGGTAAATAATGTACATTTTTAATGCCATTTCTTACAGTTTGTGCAAACAATTTTTGAGGTTGAAGGAGGTCAGTAATCAGGACTTTTTTCCTGTCATCTTCAGAGTTTCTCAATTTTTCAGCTTCTGTCACAATTGCCTTAAACTCTTCTTTGACATGATCAGTTAAATGCAATTTCTTGTTTTGTGTCCACTTCTCTACCTCAATACCTGTCATACTTTCTTCATGTTTAGTTACATTTTCAAGAGGATGTGGGTTCAATTCCAATCTTTGTTCTTCCCCATGACCACATCTACTATATTCCATGGATTCTGACTTGGGGCCATTTACTGGTTTGCTGTCAAAATCTGCCTGTAAAATAAACACAGAAATTACTCATATTATCTATTTAAATATCTGAATAAGAGCCATAGGAACTGTACAATTTAATAGCAACTACATGTGAATCCCCTGAAAAAATACTATTTTGCTTTTTATGTGTTCACAGAAGTCTTAATATACCACAAGGTTTTGTAGGGTGAAAGAAAAAAGAAAGCAGAAACTATCATAATCCCATGCCTATCAGTCTTTACATATATTCATTTGCTTATTAAATAAATTTTAAACATATCTTTACACTGGTACCATTCAGTGGCCAATATCTATTAATTTAATGCAAACTATACTTTAGTAGAAGATACACACACAAAAAATGTACAAATGGTAAGCTTGTTGAATTTTCACAAAATGAACACCTATGTACCCAGATCCCAACCAAGAAATTTTCATCTAGTGATCACTCTACTGCCAAAGAGTAATCATTGCTCTATCATAGATTTTTTCTGCTTATTTCCAAACTTTATATAACTGACTTCCTTCCACTCAAAATTTTGTGAGATTCATCCATGTTGCTAAGTATACAATACTTGTAATCCATTTATTCTTATTGCTGTAGAGTGATTCATTGACTGAATATGCTACAGTGTATTTACTGACTCTACTGTAGAAGGCTATTTGAATTGTTAGTTTTTGGTTATTAAAAGTATACTTCTACAACACATTACTGTTATCTTTTGGCCAAAATACATACACATTGGATGGTGTGGAAATGCTGGGTCCTAGAGTATGCATATGTGTATGTATTTTCAGCTTTAGGAGACAGGCCAAGGAATTCCTAAAGTGATTATCAATATATATTCCCATCAGTGATTATGAGAGCTACAACTGTCCCACATTCCTCTTGATGATTAGTATTTTCTGGCTCTGCACTCTGGCCATTCTGGTGAGTGAGTAGTGACATAACCCCTTTCTATTTTTTGGAGATGAAATTTCCATAAACAAAATTCATCATTTTACCACTTAAGACTGTATGATTCAGTGTTTTTTAGTACATGATGTTGTGCAACAACTGCCTCTAATTCCAGAACATTTTCATCACCCCTAAGAGAAACTTGTACCCATTCAGTGATTATAACAATCACTCTCTACTCCCCTCTCTAACCCCTATTTTTTTTAATCTTTGAAGAGCTCATCCAAAATTGTTCTCAGGAATTGAGACAGTAGGGGCATTTCGACTGATATCAGAAGCAAAAAGAAAGATAACCTCTATATTACTAACATTTAACATGGCTATGGACATTCTAGTCAATGCCTCCAGGAAATAAAAATATGAATCAGAGTAAAGCAGAGCAATGGTTACATTTAAAATATAAAATATGTAAGCATTATCCAATTATATAATTAAACATTAAGCAATCTAGTAGAAATAAATTATATCTAATTTCTTGATCAGGGTACAGGTTATATAGATTATGTTCACTTATCAAAATTCATAAAGACATACAATTATCATATATACATTTTTCTGTATGCATATTACATTTCAATAATTAAAAAAATAAATCTGAAATTACAATATAATGAGTCATAAGAAACACATATTTGGTCTTTCATATGACCAAATATGTATTTCCCAAGTATATTTGGTGGTCTTCATCTGCAGTTCCTGAAGACACTGCAGAGTCTTAGAGGTGAAATGGGTGTCCTGTCATGCTTTCGGACCCCATCCAAGGGCATCACCAGAACCCTGAGGAGAGCTTCTCACTCTCCTGGATCCTGCTTCTCTGTCAGAGTGTTACCATGTTTGGGGAATCAGAATGGCTTCCTTGTGCCAAGACAGTCCCCAAGTTCCAAGAGGACAGACACTCCTTTACTTGGGACCTTGACCTATGTATCTCTTCATCTTGCTGTTAACCTGTATCCTTATGATGGCCTTTATTAAACTGGTAGTAAGTGTCTTCCTGAGTTCTGCGAGTTGCTCTAGCAAATTAATCAAGCCTAAAGGGGGAAGGCCGTGGGAACCTCCAATCTGTAGCCAGTAGGTCAGAAGCACAGGTTAACTGCCTGGAGCTTGCAACCCGGGTCTGGAGTTGGGGGTGGAGGGTAGTCTTGTAGGACAGTGTCCTTAACCTGGGGAACCTGGAGCTGTCTCAAGGCAGACAGCATTGCAATTGAGCTGACCCTGCTGGTGTTCAAGAATTACTTGGTTTTATGTTTGGGAAGACCTTCTCCCACATACTTACACACACTGGAATTGGGTCAGGAACCTGAACAGTTATACTACTATTACTGCTGTGTATCATACCATTATTTTTTGTTGTATATGAAAGAACACACCGTAGTGGCCAATTTTTTAAAAAGAGAGCAATAATATAAAAAGATTTGAAATATGAAAAAGCAATGATTTTTTTACCATCTGTAGGTAAATTAACAGACTAAGCTCAAGAATACTTCATAATTTATTACAAAATGCTGGCATTTCTAAACAGTGGAGAAAGTATTAATTTCTTAATAATGACACAAGAGGGAAGTTTGACTTCTAACTCATAACATGCAACAAAAATTCCAGATATATTAATAATTAGAATTTTAAAAATATGTATGAATAAGTAAATTTAGAAATCTTAGAATAAGAAAAGTTAGAAAGTAGAGAAAATCTTCCAAAGCAAGATTAAAAAGTGAGAAGCCAAAAGGGAAAAGACAGACCTCTTTGACTACAAATATAACATCAACAATTTAAAAATCAAAAACATCACAATATAGTATGTTTCAAATTGCTGATCACAATCCCTGAGTCCCAATTTAGTCCTTATGACAGGCATTTTTTTAAATGGAATAGTAAAGAAAAATAAGAGTACACTATATTTAGTAAAGACAAATATTGCCATACAAATCTTTAATGTATGTGTTTGTATGTGTCTGTGTACTGAAATGTAATATACATTTAATTGTTGATATGTATAGCTGTCAGAAAAGGTAGGAGAAATACTACCATAAGTAAATTCAAAAGTCAAATGTAGACTGGAAAGATACTCACAATAAATGTAAAGGTTTATGCTATCTTAATGCAAAAGACTGTTGTTAATGTAAAACATTTGTCCAGCACAGACAAAAAGCTGTTGGATAAACCTAAAATGTTCACAGTAGTTACCACTGGGAAGTGGAAAAGACGAAAAGGGGAGTTTTACTTTTTTTACTTGATGCTTTTAATTTTATAGATATGCATATCTGAGTACACTGAGATTTCAATATATACATTCTTCATTGGAGATCTTGAGGTCCTTTTAAGATTTATGTGTATAAAAACATAAGATACTCTCATTTATGAATGAGCTTAATTAAAAACAACTGACCTTTATTATTCAGTTATATCTCATATGGCTTTTTAAAAACATGGAGTATCACTAATCTATTAAAGTGGATGAAAACATGCTCTACACACTGCCAACAACTACGCCAGACTTTTTAAGAAAACAATTTAATGGATTAGATTTCAGTAGGGAATAGTGAGCTTTTTATCACCTCTGCAATCTTACAAACATTTTCTATTAAGTATCTATGTATACGTGTCTGTGTTCAGGTGTGCTAAGAAAATGGTATCTCTTGTTCAGCTACTTCCTGTTCACAATGAAACTGACTGGTCAGAGAAAACAGGTCTACTGCTATTGGGGGAAAAAAAAACCATGTTCAGGTCATGTCATAAGTGACTCAGCAAAACAGATGGATGGTTTGGTATGTGAAGTGTACCTTAATAAAAGCTGACATACACACAAAAAAGTGAATCAGCATGGATGAATGAAAAAGCAATTTTTAAAAATATATAACATCATCTTATTTTAAGGTGATACATCTAAATAATGTACAACCACATTTGTTTTTAAATTGAGGTGTTGAAAAGAAACCAACCTAGTTGTTATTACTGGTTAATCTTGAACACCAAGCTGCAGATGGAAAGAGAGTAATCATTTGGAGTTGTGGACCCAGCAGATGCCATTTAGCCCAAACTTTAGTTTTCCACTTTTAAGAGATGATGTAGATCAGAATGGGGATTAGATGAAATAATATGACTAAAGTCATTAGCAGACTTCTAAGAGCTATCACTGAGAAAACACTAAAAATTTTATTACAGTAGTCATAATTCAAAGAATGTTGGCTGTATTATAATGAACTCCATACTTGGAAATCATTTAATCCTCACTACAACCCTGAAGACACTATGAAAAGGTGCTCAACTTTAAGAGAAGTGCAAATTAAAAGGACACAGATAACATTTTTCATTTATTGGGATAGCAGACATCTAAAAGTTTGACCACCTAGGCCCCTGGGGAAGCTGGGGGGATATGTGCAAAATGGTACAGACCCTATGGAGGACAATTTGGCGATAATTACCAAAATCATAAATGCAACTTAGCCTTTGATAGAGCTGATACAAAAAATTCAGAGAAGTCCTAAAATTAAATGACATAAGGGTTAGAGAATGAGTGAGAACTGGGGAAAGCACTCAGTTAATAGCTGTGGGCATAGTTAACTAGAAACTTCATGTTCCTGGATGATGTCATTTCAACAATTATCTAAAAGGTCCCCAGAACCACTGTATCACCCTGTGTGTGAACAGTGTCTGACCATCACCAAAGACCAATCCATGAGCTTCCTCTGGGGACTAACCACCTATCCCCAGACTTTCCCCACATCACCTTAGCCCACCTTCCTTATCTAAAGAGCTTTCTTTTCTTGAGACCCCTCAAAAAAAAATGTCCTGTTTCTTGAGTCTGGCAGACAAGTTTTTTCATTAACTGGCCTTGCTGTTGGTGAAGCAGAAACTTCCTGTTTCTGGACTCAGTCCTTTTTCTGACCAGCATCTGCAAAGGCTCAATAACTCATTTTATTTCAGAGCTCTCTCAGTCTCTGGAGTTTTTGATTTGTCACAGCAATTTCATTTTTGGGAATCTGTACATAATTATACCTGTACATAATTATGTATATTTTGACAGCTTTGTGTATTTTAGCAAGAAAGTGAAAATGCCCAAATGTTC